TTAGAATTTACTAAAACATGCTAAAGAATAGGGAGTAAGTTAATTTTTGACAAAGCTAGTATTTATTAAAATATATGCTACAGAATATAGTATTGTGGTGTAATATTTCCTTTTATGTTTTTTTTTAAAGTACTTAGAAAGACAGTTAATCAAGAATGTGATTAACTTTGTGCTTTGATTATGTACAAAAATTGATGGAAGAAAGTGAACAAGACACATAAAATGGAAAGATACCCCATGCTAATGAATCAGAATAATTAACATTGTTAAAATGTTCATACTATCCAATTGGAATCAGTGCAATCCTACTAAAATCCCAAAGGTATTCATCAAAGAATTAGAAAAAAAATCCTAAAATTTGTGTGGAAGTACAAAATACACTAAATAAAATGAGTAATTCTAAGAAAGAAAAACAAAGCTGGAAGAATCACACTTCTTGATTTTAAATTATATTTCAAAACTATAGTAGCCAAAGCAGCAGGGTATTGGCATAAAAATGCGAACATAGACCAGTGGAACAGAATAGAGACCCCAAATATATGCAAACACACAATTTAAATTAACTAATTTTTTGGATGTTAACTAATTTTTGACAAGTACACTAAGCAGTCACAGTGGGAAAATAGTCTCTTCAATAATTGATGTTGAGAAAACCAGATTTCCACATGCCAAAGAATTAAAGCAAACCCACTATACACAAAAATAATCTCAAAATTGATAAAAGAATAAAACTCCTACAAAAGAGCTTTGGGGAAAGTTCCATGTTGGCTGTGGCAATAATAATTTGGATATCACACCAAAAGCTTAGGCTGTAAAAGCAAAAATAAACCCATGAAACTACATCAAACTAACATGTTCCTGAAGAGTAATGGAAACAATCAACAAAACTAGATGGCAACCTGCTATTTGGAAAAAAAATTCAATTGGATATCTGATAATATCCAATGCTTATATAAGCTCATGCAACTACACAGCAGAAAAACATCTTGATTAGAAAATGGCTAATGGACATAAATGAATATTCTTTAAAAGAAGACTTATGGATAGCCGGTAGACATATGAAAAGGTGCTAATCATCATTAATCATCAGGGAAATGCTCTGTAAAAACCACTAGTAGATGTCAGCTCACATGCCTTAGGATGGTTATTATCAAAAAGTCAAGAGATGTTGGTGTGACGATGTGGAGAAAAGAGAACACTTGTATACTATTGGGCATGTAGACTGTGCAGCCTTTATGGGAAACTGTCTGGAGGTTTCTAATAAATTAAAAATAAGACTGGGGTTGTAACTCAGTGATACAATGCTTGTCCAGCAGCTGCCAAACCTTGGGTTCAGTCTTCATTACTGCAAAATAACATACCCAAGAGAAATGAAATAATCAATTTGTAAATCTATATACTCTTGCATTCAATGAAGCATTATTCACAATAACCAATACATAAGCAATCCAAGTTTCCATCTATGGAAGAATAGACAAAGAAACTGGTATATATACACAATGAAAAATCCACTTTAGTGCTTAAAAAGGACATGGTTGAACTTGAAGGGCATTGAGCTAAATGAAATAAGCCAGACAAATACCATATAATCTCACTTACATGTAAAATCTTTAAAAACAAGTCAAATACATAGAGAATAAAACAATAGTTACAAGGATTACAGGAAGAATAGGGAGATGTAGATTACAGCATACAAAATTGCAAATATATAGAGATCCAATGTACACCATGAGAACTACAGTTAATAAAGTTGCATTGAATTAGGGATTTATGTTAAATGAGTAGTTTTTACCCATTTTTTCCTGTGATAAAATGGATATGTTAATTTGCTTCACTATAGATGGTAATCATTTTATTCTACATTTCATACAATACCATGTTGGTTGTGTTAGGTATACACAATATATTTTTAAAAGTTGTTTGCCTAGTCAAATTGATTTAGGGATTTATAAATTTAAAAATTTAATGGATTTTGTTATTTAGGACAGCTAATTGTCTAAGATATATGATATTGGGCAAGTACTAAGTAGTATTTTTTAAAACAATTGCCCAAGTATCTTTATTTTCTTTTTAAAATTTGGTTCCTTTTGGTTTTGTATGACAGCAGAGTCTATTTAGACATCATTATACAAGCATGGAATATATCTTGTTCTAATGCAGACCCAATACCTCAATACCTCTATTTTCAAAGACAGTTTACAGAGAGTGCTCCATATAAATTCTGTACTCATGAAAAGGTGGAATAAACATAATCAATGTCTTGTTTAATTTCAGTAATTTCTGGTGTAATATTAAAGAGCCCCTCATAGTAAGACTGCAAGGAGCCTAAATGCCCATACCAATGGCCCCAAGAAGATGCTTCTAAGCATTGGCAAAGACTTGAGGATTTTGCTCAGATTCTTATGATCTTTCTCCTTGGGTTGAAATATTCCAGATTGTAAATAAATTTCAATGTTAAGTCCAAAGGGGGTGTGGGATGATGCAAAGCAATGCAAAGCAATGCCCTAACCATCTAAAAAGAACTTAAATGTCATTTCTTCCAGTATGTTGCTTCTAGGGAAGAGGAACCATGCTATAATGGAGTCCCAAGGATTCTGAAAAGAAAAAAACAATAGTAGTAGAAGAATGTAAGGTGGGTAGGATTTGAACCTTTAATTGGAGAGAAAAAAAAGGAGAAAGAGCTTTATTTCTATGTAAGTTTTGTATTTCCTTTTTATTTTTATATTACTTAGATGTTGGATAAGGGAGTCATTAAGGACCCCTGAACTGCAGGTGTAGCAATGGTTTTCACTCTTGGAAGACCCAAAAGATGCTAGTACCTCATGGAGCAGATCTCTAAGAACCTTCTATTGTTTAGGGCTAGGCTGATTGTGCAATTAGATTTAAAACAGATTTATCCAGTTTCTAACTCTGTTTAGCAGTGTAGGTTCTTACAGAACTTTGGGACAGATCTCAGGCCAGGAATAAAGTTATACCTGCATAGAGTGGCCCCCCGTTTATAAACCCCAGAAATCAAATGAGTTGGAATAGTTTGGCAGCCTCAGAGGGATTTAGAATGTGAGATATTTTCAAAAATCCCTCTGCTCTTCCTTAGAGACTTCATCCCCACATAGATGTTGACTTATCTCTTCCTTAAAGTCTATTTTAATAGTGTTTCTTAGAGTCAGATCAAATATTAAAGGTTTTTTTTCCCCCTTACTTCTCAGGTACCTTGATCCTATTTACCCCCAAGTTCTTAAATAGGGATAACCAGTAGTGCTTCTGGGGACCTGTAAAACTTCTGCAATGTTTCTTTTGAAAAGTGTAGTTTCTCATTGGTTACCAATGAGTTTACACTCAGGTCAGGTGGTGGTTGAAAAAGAGTGCTTTGTTTTCTAGTTGTATAATGCACATTCATTTCTTATTTTACTCTGAGTAGAATTTAAATATATTTTATTTTGATAATTTTAATTGTATTTTTGAAGCCCTGTTTATCCTAGGTTAAGTGGGGAAGTTTTAAGAGCTACCTTTGGTAGAAAAAGAGAAAAGTGGTTAGAAGTCCACCTTGCCACTTCAAATACTCCCACTTCTACACTTCATTGCCCAAAGCAGTTCAACTTTTGTTTGAAATATTGGCATTTAAAATAAGATTTTATGTAGAACTGTTTATGCTGATTAAAAAACTTGGACAGTAGTAACCTGATTTAATAGTGAGTATTCTAAAATGGTAACCTTGCCCATCCATACATAAAGTAAGATGAAGAAAATCACAAACTCTTTCGAAACTTGGTAGAGAAGGGAATACCTTCCTATTCATTCTAGGAGGCTGGTATTACCCTGCTATCAAAACCAAAGAATCACAAGAAAATTACAAAGAAAAGAAAATTCATATCTGTTGTGAATATAGAACACAAAAAATCTTTAAGAAAATGATACCAATCTAGCATCATGTGAAAAGAATTATATACTATGATCACTATGAGGAATGCAAGGTTGGTTCAACATACAAAAAGCAATGTTATATGCCATGCTAACAAAATATAGAATCAAAATCACCTTATAATTTCAATACACTGAAACCTCAATATACCTAGAAAAGGCATTTAAAAAAACTAATACGTTTTCATGATAAAACACTAAATAAACTAGTAATTGGAGATAACTTCCTCATCCTGATAAAGGATATCTATGAAAAACCCTTAACCACCACCATATTTATTGGTGTAATGCTGACAACTTTCTTTCCCTTAAAATTAGGAAAAAGACAAAGATACCTGCTTTAAGTATTTCTATTCAATATCAAATTGTAGGTTCCAGTCAGCACAAGTAGGCAATTAAATAAAATAAAAAGTACCTCTACTGGAAAGAAATAAAACTACATAATATTACCAGATGACATCATATTGTATCATATAGAAAATCCTAAGGAATACACATGTGCACAGGCACATCCCCTGACACAAACTGGAAACAAATAAGTTCAACAAAGTATCAAAACACATTAATTTATAAGAATTACCTATTTGTATAGAGTAGTTAAGGAAAATCCAAAATTAAAATTAAGCAAAATAATTTACACAAGCAAAACACTGACTAAAATATAAGGAATAAGTTGAACAAAAGAAGTTCAAATCTTTTATGCCAAGAACTACAAATATCATTGAAAGAAAGACTTAGAGAAACGAAAAGCCATTCCATGCTCATAGATTTGAAGACAGCACACTCTTGTCAGTATACTAGAATCCATTGAAATTTATACTTTGAAAAGGTGACAGTTATGTGAATTATATATATTTATGTGTGTGTGTATATATATATATATATAATATATATATTATATATATATATATATATATATATAATATATATATTATATATATATATATATATATAATATATATTATATATATATATATATATATAATATATATATTATATATATATATATATATATATATATATATATATATATATATATGAATATATATAAATAAATGGTGGAAAAATTAATCATTACTCACCTTCATTTTTAACTGATGTTGATGAAGCAACAGTTGCTGGCACCAGAGATGTATTTAATAATTCATTGTTGATTGCTCCTAGTTTGATAAGGTAGATGACATTATTATTAATCACAATCTCATTTCACCTGTCAAGCCATAAGTAAAAGTAAATCAAATTTGGAGGTAAACTGGAATAGGGTAAGCCTTTGTCTACCTTTAATTTTTCTATTTTCCATCTCCTTTTGTCCAAAGAGGATTGTTAAGTATTGAATGCTTGAGAGGTCTGATTTTACATACACACACACACACACACACACACACACACACCCCTTGCATGACAGATCCAAACAGCAAATTTCCATGACAGGTTTTTTCTTTGGTATCACTAAATATATGAAAATATATTGCAAGAACTATAAAATCTAGTAATTTAAAATTATTTTGTTTCTCTCTGTGGGGAAAAAAAATGAACTGGCCAACAGAATCTGGGAATATTATGATTTGTTTTTCAGAATTACATTCCATTTTGTTAATTTAGTTATGTTAATGAAAATTCCAAATGAGCATAGGTATAAAGTAAGTTGTAAGCTCCTGTAATTAATTTGTTCATGATGTTCTTTGAATACATGTTCTGTGCTAGGCCCCCTCCTAGACTCTTGGGGGTATGGTATTCAACTCTTAGTATCTTTTTTTATACCTTTATTTTATTTATTTATTTTTACATGGTGCTGAGGATCAAACCCAGTGCCTCACATGAGCTCTACGGAGCCACAACCCCAGCCCTCTTGCTATCTTTTAAATCTAAATCATATCAAAATAATTCCTAGCATTTAGTAATGTTATTTCAAATAAAGGGGTACACTGAGGACATGAGTGTCGGCAAAAATGCAGACTTGCCTTAAGTAGTTAACTCCTCAGTGTGATACACACTGTAGTAACAGTCTCTTCTTCCTTAATGCCCTTTTGTAGTTAGAGCAATGGTTCCATATTCACCATAACAGCTACAATCCTGGTTCTTATATTTATCAATGCCATATTTGGAGGAAGAATATAAGTACTGCACAGTTAATCTAATGCTTTGAAATCCTAGTCCAGCAGGGAGTTTCAAAGGTAAATTGACTAGAGGATACCAAGGAAGATACAAATTGTGGAGGATTGCTGTGGACAAACTTTGAGGCAGGTCGGGGAGGCTTGGTCTACTGTTCACTCCTCTGTTCTTGTGGTTATTAGGGAGTACAGATTATTTGAGAAATGGAAATCACAGGCAGATTTGTGAATTATATTGGAAAGTGGAGAGCACCTAAGTATTTAGGACCTTCTAAAAATCTTAGAATCTTATGTGGTTATAGTTTAAGAAAAGAAACCAACAAAGGAAACCTTATTCCTAAAAGCTATGTTTGAGATTTTGCATGGCCTACTCATGTGATGCCAGCATCTTCAAAATAAGGTGTAACTATGTTAATAAAGTGTCCCCATTAGCCACAGCTGGCCTTTGTTTTCATTTCATCCCTACTCTTGGGTTTTCTGGTACCAACAGCAGGAAGAATCAAATTTTAAAAATTACCTTTCTATTGTCTTTTACTAATACAGTAGGACACACATAATGATAATAATGAATATAAATAAACTGTGTCAACAGGGATTCTGTGATTATGTTGCTGATCATTATATATAATCAGTGTAACAATATTTATAATATAAACACAAGTTACTTTTCCAGCTTTATTGAGGTACAATTAAGAAATAAAAATCATACATATTTAAAATGTATAATGTGATGTTTTATATGTATACATGCTCTGTAAAATTATTACCACAATAAAGCTAACTAACATATATATCACTTCATATGCTTAGCTTTTTTTGTATGTGTTTGGTGAGAACAGTGAAACTATCTTAGTTATTGCTAATTTATGAATATAAGTAAACATTTTACATATATGTGATAGTGAAATTCTCCCTATGTGCTACATCTGTTAAAATTCTGATGTATAATGCAGATTATTATTGTAAGTAAAATGTTACAGTAACTTGTTATGGTTTAGATCAGGTATCCCCCAAAAGCTCATTGTGTAAGACAATGCAAGAGATTCAGAGACAAAATGATTGGGTTGTAAGAGGTTTAACCTAATCAGTGAATTATTTCTTGGTAAGGATTAATTTTGCAGTAACCATAGACGGGTAGGGTGTGACTGAAGGATATAGGTCCCTGGGGTTATGCCTTAGGGTTTATATTTTTGTCCTGGCTGAGCAGAGCTCTCTTTCAACTTCCTGTTACCATGATCCTAGCTGCTTTCCTCTGCCAAACACTTCCTCCATGATGTTCTGCCTTACTTCAGGCCCCAGGAATGGAGTCGGCCATCTATGGACTGAGACCTCTGAACCCATGAGCCCTTAAATCAACTTTTCCTCCTCTAAAATTGTTCCTGTCAGGTCTTTTGGTCACAGCCACAAAAAAGCTTCCTAAAACACTAAAGATAAGTGATTTCTTTTAACTTTATGTTCAAAGTAATGATTAAGTACTTTCAGGAAGTTAATCGGAGAAATAGACTGAAGTTAATATAAATATTGAGCAAGTACTATAACCATATATTTTTAGGGACATTATGTTATTTTAAGTCAATAGTGTTTAGATAAAGTCATTAGAATCTCATAAATCTACTTGTAAACTTGTTTTGTAAACTAACATTTATAGCATTTCCCAAAATAACCTTTGAGAGCTGGGTTAAATTCAGCTCAGGTCACAAGTACTTCAATAAAATATCGAATTTGTAAACATTTATATTTTGTAAAGATAAACTTACAGTAAAATGTCATCTTTACCACTTTAAAATTCTGTGAAGAGGAGAAAGCAGAGAATCATGTATAAAAATATCTCAAGTAGTTCATTTTCAAATAAAACCGTAACAATAGAAAGAATGGATAAAAGGAGAAAGAATATGGGGGGGGGGATGAGGTCCCCAAACCCATTGTAATCCCAACTATTTTTAAAAAATGCTTTTTATAAACAAACCCATTGTAATCCCAACTATTCATACAAGAAAAATGCTTTTTAAGTCTGTTCCTTAGTGTTTGATGTATTTCTTTTCTACACAGAGGAAATGCCACTTAAACATCACCACACCCAACACTTTATGTAAAATAGATGGCCCCAAATTACTTCTCTAGTGACCTTAAATTTGAGTGCCCATTTAGAATCAGAAATTTTTAGCATCAGTGCTGAGAAATTTTTATTCCTGCAATATCATTCAACTTGTTAAAAATATTTGAATACTAAATGTTTTTAAATCAATCTAACAGTCACAGTTTAGGCACAAAATTTCAAACCTGTTTTTGTACACTAGGAGTTCACTTTACGGTGGTGATATGCAGTGTCTGCCAAATTCTGTTTTTTAACTCTGGCCATTTGATCTTTGCATAAAATATGCATTGTACTCCATACACATCTAGGAAGAAGTCAGGTCCCAGCTCTTTAATTGGATTGTCTCTGAAAGCAAAACCTGCTCCAGGCAGAGCTCTATCAATCAGTCACGTCACTGTGACTGTGTGGCTACAAGAAAAATTCTCCTCTAAGTTTCACTTTTTTTTTTTTAACTTTTCTGATGGTAGATTTTTTTTGTCATTGGCCAGAGAAAGAATATTTATGTGCTGTAGATAAACATAAGTACTATTAGTACTTTTAATTTTAAACAAAGAAAATCTGATTGAGAAGCTTAAAAAATGAAAATAAAACAGCTTTGGCATGTTTATATATATATATATATATATATATATATATATATATATATATATATATTTATATTTGTTTATATTTATTTATATTTATATACATAAATATATATATGGCATATATATCATATATAAATATATATATAATATATACTTATATATATATTTTTTCTTCCTTTTTTTTTTGGAAATAATTTGTTGTAGCTAAGAGGACCATGTTGGCCATGAGGAAGGAGAATAAGGAAATGCTTTACCATAGGTACAACTTTGGGGTATTATTATGTGTTTTTAAAATGGTTATTTTGAAAGATAGGAAAATGTATAAAACTCCTTGAAATTTAAACCCTTTATCAACCTGAAATTGGAAGCCAAATATACTGACACACTGCTTAGAACATGAAAATTTAAGGAAAATTCTTCATTACTGTGTATTAATTGCACAACGTTTAAGAGCATGGGCTACATCCACTATATATAGTTCAACTCACCTATACCCTTAATTCACAGTCAGTGATCAAGCAGTCCAGACCCAAACTGTTCCTTTCTGGCTTCCTTCTCCAGTGTTGGTCCCCTGTCCTCTTCTAAGCACCATGTTTCCCCTCTCCCCGTGCTGTCTGATGGCTCCACTCAGCCCAACCACCAGGCCAGACTTTGTTTCTCATACTGGGTGCAACCAGTTGTGGACCCTAGCTGCCCTCTCCTGCTTCCTTTCCCTGCCTCCTCACTCTCTCAGCTGGTCTCACTAGTGATCCCAGGATGGAGCTACTTTCCTCCCTTCAGCTCTTTTTCACTGGTGCAAAAAAAATTCATGTTACCAGATTATAACCATTAAAACTTCTCTAAATGGGTATTAGGTGATCTAAAGTATAATTGTTAATTTGGGGGATTGATAATGGCATTGTCACTTGGGATCAAATTGTTCATATTTTTTTTTTTTGAGATTCATATTTAGTGTGTTAAAGGAACTATGGCAAGAAGTCTGGATTCCCTTCCAAATACTTTAGTAGTCAAATTAAAGAGTGGAAAGAATAAATAAAGAAGGAAGAAAGGAGAAAGAAAAATAAAACTGAAGCAAATGTGGTAAAACCTACAAAGATATTAATTTGAGATGTTTAGTATATTTAAACATTTTTAAATAGAAATTAATAAAAGTAAAATTTTTCTGATCTATTAAGATTTTGCAACTGAATGTGAATAATTTAAAGTTCATCTTAAGAACCTTTGAAGATTACAAACTGAAGTGTAATTTCTGTCAACTGGGTAGTAAAAATCATAGAATGTATCAAAAAAATAAAGGAATTATGAGTGAGTGAATATGTGTGTGTGTGTGTGTGTGTGTTGTACAGATAAGTTCAAGTGCTCTTATCAATTGCTTCATAGAAGAGTGTTTCAGCATCCAGTACAGAAACCACGAATGGGAAAGTTGTGAGAAGAATGTTCTCACCCATGCCCTGACATGAAAAGATATGAGATAACACTTCCAAGTCAGCAAGTCAAGATGCATTCCTCCTACTTTGCTGAATTCATTTATTAGTTCTAGAAGTTTTCTGGTGTAATTTTTTTGGATCCTCTAAGAATAGAATCATGTTGTCGGCAATTAGTGATAGTTTTGAGTTCTGGTATCACAAATTACCATTCTGCCTGAACTGCTTCATTGAACTATCATCTCTGCCCTTGCATGGTCTTTTTAACATAATATTCAAGGTTTGTGTTATTATTTGGATGTTAATATTCACTACTGAGCCTCACAGTCAGGGCTAGGAATCCACCAATTAGAAAGCACAAGTTCCAAGTATAAAAATTGCGGAACTTCAGATTTTGGAATCTGCATGCAACAACAGTATTCACCTTCTTTGAACTATTACTTATGGGGGATATTATTAGTGGAAAAATAATATATTTTTACCAAATTAGGGCCAATTTTATGCCATGGACTCAGCTGGCAACTCACAGAAGAAAACAAGCAAACAGTTATATTTTGTAAAAGTGCTAGAGTGCCTGTGCTTGAAAACCAGGAACACAGGACTAGAAAATTTTTATAATTTGGCGTGAACATACTTTATATACAGAGATATGAAAAATTGTGCTGTATATGTGTAATAAGGATTGTAATACATTCCACTGTTGTTGTGTATTTAAAAAATAAATTAAAAAAACGCAGTGTGCAGGAGTTGGCTAGGGACCTGCAGGGCATGGCTTTGTAATTGTGTCATTTGGAGTTTCCCTTGATTGGAAATAGATGTTGTATGATTTTCTGGTAACAAAATCCCCATGCCACCCCTATTGTGCAATATTTTCTCCTGCCTTGTAGAAAAGTTCTAGGAGGTTTGGTTTTCATCTTAGAATCAAACATTGCAGAAATAGTGGACTTTGATCATGACATCCTTTACATCTGAGAATCACCACCCTATTCAGCTCAGTGAACTAGCCTTCATTGGTCTGCATAGATTTGAGTTTAGCCTTAGAATAAAAAAAATAAGGGGTAATAAAGAGGTGAGGAAAACAGAGACAGGAATTTCATTTATTCAGGGCATTTGATATTTTTAGTCTTTCTGTGACCTTACTATTCTCACAGGAGTTTTTGCCTCTAAGCAATCAACTAACAATTCTACTTTTTTTTCCCTTCATTTATTACTGAACCTGAATATACCTCTTTTTTTTTTTTTTTGTTCATGGCAGGGTGGACAATACAGTATTCATTTGGTTTGACAACGCCTTGGGTTATTTATTGAATGCGTCTAATTGCTTTACAAATTTTTATGGATGATATTGTAATCTCCTTTAATCTAGCCAAAAATTTGGGATAGCTGTTGTCACTAAGTACAGTAAAAATGATTATGACATTGCTACTGAGACCTACAAATTAAATCTATTATCAGCACGGTACAACCCACAAAATTGATCTGTTATTAATATAGTTCCATCTTATTGGCTACGCTGCATAAGTGGAGAACTGAAATATTAGAAAAATATTTTTATGGCTTAGATATTTTTTTTCTTTTCTAAAAGCAAAATTTTGTTTGTAACATTCACAAAAGGACCATTCTCACACAGGAATGATCTAAAAGAATGTCAGCAGAGAAGTCTACTATGATCTTAGGATTCATTAAGAAAGCCAAAATAACACAATAACTTCAAAATAGTGAAACAGCATAGATATTTGTAACAATCAGATATTAGATCCTAAATTATTTTTTTGGTTAAATTATAAATATTCTAATATTAACTAAATTCCACTAAGAGTTAATCTTACCTTTAGGAGTTGTTTTATGGAATAATATATCAGTAGTTGTTGATAACGTTGAGTTTGTTGTTACTACAGTGGTGATTGGTAGAGAAATTGTTGTTGATGATGTATTAGTAGATGCACCTGAAACAATTAGAAAAAAGTAAATTATTCTAAAGTAGTTGCATTAACATTTACATTTATTTTGCCAGTCAACAGACTAGTATATTTAAATTAAGTACAGTAAACAATGTCTACTCTGATAATCCAGTTAGTAGGACATGGATTTGGAACTAATGTTTTGGTTGTGAAGAGCTTAGTATTTGCTCTTCAACTGTACCTGATTTACATCAATGGTGTGACTTTTTAGGATTATAGGCAGGGTCAGTACGTGGTTCTGATCTTACATAATATCTGAGAATAATGAAGAATAGAAGTGCAAATTTGAAATTTAACACTATCTTTAAGCTAACTAAACTAATCTTGCCAGATAAAATAATACAATGGGCACTCTCTGGGCAGGGGATGTTTTACTAAATGTTTTGATATTGACATTTTACTACTTAATAACTTTAATGTACTATTGATATATTCTCTTGATATATAATCTCTCGTCTCCTCTCTTTCTCCATATATATGTGTACATATATATGCACACACACATGCATACACATATATATAATCTATAACACATATTTATGTACATATGTATATAGAAATGTTTATTTATACAGAGTATAAATGTAAAAGTATATATAAGGAGGGAGATAAGTTCCAAAGAAAGACAATCAACTTATTAATCTAAAGAAATTTAATAATTATAACATCTAAATTTGAGGGATGGAGCCTCCATAAATGTGCGTTTTCAAATTGTTTATTTCTCTAAATTTCAAACATGTGCGGCCAGAGGCATGGAAAGAAGGCAATAAATTGTAATCCATGTTATGTATTTCTTTTTAATAGCAATTCTTAAACTATATAAAGAAACTGATTTTCTGTAACAGCTGGAGTTGGCAATATCACAACTTCATAATTATTGTCTCAAATTGAAATATGTAGAATGAAACTCTCAGTGTTCTGTCAAAAGACTTGCTTCATATAAAATTGTTGTAGTTATCATTTATATTGATTGTTTAATCCTGGACATTATTGGTCTTATCTCTGGACAGTCACTACTATGTTACAGATTAAAATGCAGATGTCTTAAGATTTGAAAAAAAATCTATGGAAGGCATTGATTTCCATGTAATATCCTGGTCTGTATACATATGTGTGTTATAAAAGTATAGAATAGCATAGAATGTTAGTTGAATAATAAATGTTTATGTTCCTAGTCCCATCAAACTACTTCAGTTCATAACAGTGAATATATGTCATTAGTATCAGTTCTCAAATTTAAATTAGAGTTAAAACTTTCCTCTTTGAATCTGAGAAAAATCAATATGTGGAATGTCAATGAAAGGTAGTGTCTCAGATGTCATGAGATAAGGTGTGTTTTCTGTTTCATTTCATAGCCTGAAGGTACTTGGAAGTGTTAGCTCTTAGCACTGACTTTGTTTATAGACACAGTAAACAGAAATTGCTAGATATATTTGGCACGTGGAGATGTGTTCAGCATGTACAGAGATGATAGAGCTGCATTTTCACAGGTTTTATGAAGATGAAGTTAAAAGCTCATTTTTCGTCTAATGGAAGGAAGTACACTTCACACCCTGGATCGTGCCCTCCATACCACCTGGTGTTCGGCAGGGAGCTGCCACACAGCCCATACACCCTTATCTGTTCTTTACTAGCCATTTTGTTCTAGCTCTTTCCTTTAGTCCTAAATTCCATGTTGTAACACTGCTTTCTAATAATTTACTAAAGTTGATAAAATTATTCTAAGAAGCATACCACTTAGACTGGAAAATTTATATAATGGCTTGAATGATACCGTCTTTTGACTTCCAAAGAGTAACAATCTTTTTTAAATTGTTTTATCTGTTATTTTTAGTTATACATGACAGTAGAATGTATTTTGGCAGATTATACATAGAGAATATAATATTTTTTGGTTACTTCTTTTTAAAAATTTTTATTTATTTTTTTAGTCATACAAGACAGTAGAATGTATTTTGACATATAATACATACATGGAATGTACATACATCAATCATATTGTCTATTCTATTCTGCTGCCCTTCCTATCCTCCCTACTCCTCCCCTCCTCTCCCATCCTTTCTCTCTATCCAATCTAATGTGACACAATTTTTTTTTTCTTTTTCTCATCACAACCTCATATATGTATTCTGTATAACAATGAGGTTCTCCTCCCATCTTCTGTGCAACTCCCCTTCTCCCTCTTTTTCCCTCCCACCTCTCTTCCCTATTTAGTGGTAGTCTTCTTCTCATGCTCTTCCTTCCTATCCCATTTTGAGTCACCCCCCCCCCTTATATCAGAGAAGACATTCAGCATTTGTTTTTTAGGGATTGGCTAACTTCACTTAGCATAATCTGCTCTAATGCCATCCATTTGCCTGCAAAAATCCATGATTTTATTATTTTTTAGTGCTGAGTAATATTCCATTGTGTATATATGCCACATTTTTTAAACCATTCATCTATTGAAGGGCATCTAGGTTGGTTCTACCTAGATGCCCTTCAATAGATGGGCCAAGGATTTGAACAGAAACTTCTCAGAAGAGGATATACAATCAATCAACAAACACATGAAAAAATGCTCACCATCTCTAGCAATCAGAGAAATGCAAATTAAAACCACTCTAAGATACCATCTCACTCCAATAAGAATGGCAGCCATTATGAAGTCAAACAACAAGTGCTGGCGAGGATGCAGGGAAAAAGGTACACTCATACATTGCTGGTGGGACTGCAAATTGGTCAGCCAATATGGAAAACAGTATGGAGTTTCCTTGGAAAGCTAGGAATGGAACCGCCATTTGACCCAGCTATTCCCCTTCTCGGACTATACCCAAAAGACCTAAAAAGAGCATGCTACAGGGACACAGCCACATCAGTGTTTATAGCAGCACAATTCACAATAGCTAGAATGTGGAAACAACCTAGATGCCCTTCAATAGAGAATATAATTTAATCTATTTAAAATCCCACTCTTGTGGTTGTACATGATGTGGAGTTACACTGATCGTGTATTCAAAAAACAAAAAAAAATAAATTGCCCCAGTGAATTAAAAAAAATTACGTTGTAATTTTAACATATACTATATTTTATATTCTGTATTTTTATGTTCTTTATGCATAAGAGACATTAAAACATTACCTTGTTTTTTATGTGCTCAAAAAAAAATACAAGGCTAGGAAAGTTATGATGGATTAATTTTACTGTCTTTACTATTCCCTCCCTGCTCCTTTCCCTTTAGTCCCCTTTGTCTCATCCAATGTATTTCTATTATTCCCTTCCCCAACCTTTCTTGTTTTGGGTTAGCATCCACAAATCAGAGAGAACATTAGGCCTTTGGTTTTTTGGGGACTGGCTTATTTTACTTAGCATGATATTCTCCAGTTCCATTCATTTACCAGAAAATGCCATAATTTTGTTCTTCTTTATGGCTAAGTAATATTCCATTGTGTATATGTACCACATTTTATTTATCCATTTATCCTTTGAAGGACACCTGGGTTGTTTCCATAGGTTGGCTATTGTGAGTTGAGCTGCTATGAACACTAATGTCTCTGCATCACTTTGATATTTTGATATAAGCTGTTTTAAAGTCCTTTGTGTATAGATCAAGGAGTGGGAAAACTGGATCAAATGGTGTTTCCATTCCAAGTTTTCTAAGGAATCTCCTTACTGCTTTCCAGAGTGGTTGCACCAATTTTCAGTCCCACCAACAATATATGAGAGTACCTTTTTCCCCACATCCTTGCCAACATTTATTGTTACTTGTATTCTTTATAATTGCCATTCTAACTGGAATGAGATGGATTCTCAGTGTAGTTTTAATTTGCATGTCTCTAATTACTAGAGATGTTGAGCATTTTTTTCATATATTTTTGACTATTTGTATTTCTTCTTTTGTGAAGTGGTTGTTCAGTTCCTTTGCCCATAAATTGATTTGGTTATTTATTTTTCTAAAGTTCTTTGTATATCTTGGAAATTAATGACTTGTCTGAGGTACTGATGGTGAAGACTTTCTCCCATTCTATAGGATCTCTGTACATGTTATTGTTTCCTTTGCTGTGAATATTTTCAGTTTGATACTATCCCATTTATTGATTATTGATTTTACTTCTTGTGCTTTGGGAGTCTTGTTGAGGGATTCGGTTCCTAAGCTAATATGTTGAAAAGTTGGGCCTACTTTTTTTCCTAGTAAGGGTAAGGTGTATGGTCTAATGCCTAGGTCCTTGATCCACTTTGAGTTGAGTTTTGTCCAGGGTGAGATATAGGGGTTCAATTTCATTTGATTACATATGGATTTCTAGTTTTCCCAGCAACATTTGTTGAAGAACCTATCTTTTTTCCAATGTTTGTTTATGGTTTCTTTGTCTATGATGAGATAACTGAATTTGTGTGGGTGTGTCTCTGTCTTCCATTCTGTTCTGGTGGTCTTTATGTCTGTTTTGGTGCCAGTACCATTGCTGTTTTTGTTTTTTGCTATGCTCTATAGTATAATTTAAGTTATGGTATTGTGATGCCTTCTGCATCACTTTTCTTGCTGAGGATTGCTTTGGCTATTCTGGGTCTCTTATTTTTCCAAGTGAACTTCATGATTGCTTTTTCTATTTCTGTGAAGAAAATCATTGGAGTCTTTATGGGAATTGCATTAAATCTGTATAGAACTTTTGGTAGTATGGCCATCTGGATAATATTGATTCTGCCTATTCAAGAGTAACAATCTTAATCCCTGAAAACAGTATCTTCAAAGATGGATCCTTCCTTTCTTTCTTGTTTGTTTCCTTCCTCCTTCCTTCCTACCCTCTCTTCTTTCTTTCCTTTTCTCTCTTCCACAATACATGTTGGACCAAGACTTATATGAGAATCGTGATTAGACACAGTAAAAGACTCTAAGATGTACCACTTAGTATCAGCCTGAGTAGCTTTCATCTAGTGGGGGAACATAATGGCCATGCAAAACAAATAATGTAGGGCATCCTGTATGGTTGTATAGATTAATGTTTTTTAA